CCACCCAATCAGCCCAGAGCTGATTTTCTATCTTGTGTCCCCCTCTCTCTTCTTCCAAGCTCCTTGTCACTAGCCTGAGCAGAGCCACCCCCCAGCGGGTTCGGGTCTGGTTTTTGTTTTTCTAAAGAAACAGAACGGTCTCCCTTTCTGTATACAGAGTGGCTGCCACACTAAACCCTGAATGTTTTCCTTTCTTTCTTCTCCGCTCGGTTTGGTTTTTGCCAGGAGGGGAAGGTGCGCTCGCTGCCATCACCCTAACCTGCCCCCAGGCTCACAGAGCTGTCTGCACTTGTCGGGTCCCTATGTCCCATTTGGCGATCCGTTGCCCCAAGTCTTGCCATGGCTACTAGCGTTCCCCCCCACACACACACACACATCCCCCGTGCCATTGGACCAGGTGACACACTGTAGGTGAACACCTCAGCAGCGTTTGTCACACCAGACTGGATACAGCTGGCCTGCGGCTGGGGGTCCTGGACCAAGCTGGCGCCCATCTCCCAGACACTTGAGTGTTGGCTCCTGACAGCTCACAGCTGACCCTTCTCGGGGGACTTAGCAAAAAGGCAGCCACATCACTGGAAGGGAACACCGCTAGGGCCGCAGACAGCTGCCATGGACTGATCCGGGGTACAAAAGACCCCGGCCTCCAAGTGCAACCCTCTCTGCGTGCTGTTCACAAGCCCCGGGCTCCCGTGTGTGCTCGCCCCTCCAATGTGCACTGGTATCCTAAACCCTAATACTGGTGCAAGTCATCCTGTTTGGAAACGGGCTTTTCGTCATGACGTTAATTAGATCATCTCCAAGATTTAAAAAACAAGAGAGAAACCGAACAACATTGCCCTCCGATTCACGGAACACTGGGTCCAACGGCCCTCCATCGATTTTCAGTAGCTGTGACCTTTGAACCCGTGGATCTCCAGGCTTTTCTTCCGAGCCACACCTGGATAAACTTGAGCCACAAACCTTTAGCAGGGCCGTGAATGCTGGGCACCATCCAGGGTCCCCGTTACAAAATGTGATGTAAAAAGCGCACAAAGACCCGAATCCGGAGCCCCTGCTCTGTTCTGAGCCTCCCTCCCCACCCCCACCCCCACCCCAAATCAATCCTGCGACACCCCAAGCAAGGGGTTCAGTGGATTCCCGGAAAGGCGGTCAGGGGTGAGGGTGGCTTCGCGGAGCGGGAGGAGTCACGGGTGGGGGACTTAAGGGTCACTCACCCGATCACTTCCGGGGTCAGCTCCCGGCGGGCGCGCGGCTCCGTGCCTGGCCGGTGGTACGGGAAGACCATGGCCTGGCCGTTGCCGTCCAGGCGGAAGCGCAGCGAGGTGCGCAGGATGGCGCTGAGCCGCTGCAGGAAGTCGGCGCTGGAGCGCAGCAGCTCGTCGGGCGGCAGCAGCACGGTGAGGACCAGCACGCCGCGCGCCAGCAGCGCCGGCACCTCGCCCGCGCAGTCCAAGCCATCCCAGCCGCACTCCTCCGTGTTGCAGCCCTGGTCGCAGCGGCCATCCGCAAAGTGGTCTGCGCAGTACTTCTCATACACGGGGCTGGGGGCAGAGGAGGAGGTCAGAGCCTCTCCAGATGGGCACACAGCATTGGCACAGGGGGGTCGGGGTGTTCCAGCACCCGCAGGCTTGCCCCAAAGACACCGATTAGCTCAATACTGCAGCCTACCAGCGGCCCTTCAAGTTGATTCCAACTCCCGGCCACCCGGTGTGCAGAGTAGAGGCCGTGTGTGTGCCACAGGGCTTCAAGGCTCTGGCCTTTCAGAAGCAGGTGGCCAGGCCTTCCTTCCAAGATCCCTCTAGGGGGATGCCAGTTTCGGTATTTTAACCTCCCAAGGCTTTCCATCCTTCACTAACTTAGCTAACATGCCATCATCGGTGATAGGCCGCCTGCCACAAGTCCTTGTGGGCACTGAGAAGGCCCGGCCACAAATCCTGGCCCATGTGGTTGAAGCAGGTGTGACAGATGAGGAAAATGCTCAATCACATGTCAACAAACACAAAGCCACCACTAGCCAAGAGGTGGGCAGGCCAAGCCCACCCAGAAGCACCGCGAAGACAAGGCCTGGTGCTCTACTTCCGAAAGGTTACAACCCTGACAATCCCAAGGAGCATCCGTTGGACTCAGAACCCCCTGAGGAAGGCTGGTCCAGGCCAAGGGTACAGCCTTTGCAAAGGCCCTGGGGTGGAAGCCTGGGAAATCTGGGGGACAACAGAGAGATCAGAGTAGCTGGGGGGATGCAGGGGGAGTTGAGGGAGGGGCAGTTCCTGACAGATAAGAGGCACACTAAGCGACAGGGGAGACGTGCAGGGATGGACAGACATGGGCATGCAAGTGGGCGCAAAGGGACAGGCAGAGTCACAGAGAGGGCCACAGAGGGGTGTGTGGATGGGCAGGTGGGGCACAATGATAGACAGATGGACAGAGTGGGATCTGAACAGACAGGTGGACAAATGAGTTCCAAGAATGGACAGACAACAGTGCAGACAGATAGGTGCCCACAGGGGCCAGTGGGGATGGAAATGCAGGCTAAACAAATAGGCGTGGGGCAAGAGAGATGAAGGGCATGGGGCAGAAAAACAGGCAGATGCATACAGGGCTCATGGACAAGCAGACGGACAGTCATGACCCGGGGTGGGCAGATGGAGTGCACAGACAGAGCACTCAGATGGATAGACAGGGACACAGAGACAGACAGACAGATGGCTGGACAGACCAACAGACAGGGCACTTGAATGGGCTGACCAGCAAGGCAGGGCGCTGGACAGGTTCAGACAGACAGGCTGGGCTACAGATGTGGCACATAGGCAGACAGACAGGCAGGCAGAGTGGATAAAGATGGGCAGAAAGGTGGCTCCGCGGTGGTAAAATGTGGCAAATGAACAGATGAAGGGCAGACAGGATGAGCGAATGGACAGACCAGGGCAAAGGAAGCGACAGACTGATGGAGAGGTGGACAGCCATGGCACACAGACATCCAGGGCAGATGGATGGAGAGACGGGATGGGACACACCAGTTGAGAGGCAGGGCCCGGATGTACGGTAAGGCGGGCAGACCGACAGAAGGACGCACTCACTTGCAGGTGCGTTCCTGGGCCCCCGTGTGACAGTCGAAGTTGTCGTAAAGGCAGGCGGGCGAGCTGCAGGCGGGGTCGCAGTGGCTGTTGTTGAAAAGGCGCCAGCACTGCAGCGCCTCGCACTGCCGCCAGGGGTCGTCCACGCTCAGCGAGCAGTCGCCCCCGTCCCAGCCGCAGCCGGGGCTGTTGCACTCGCGGTCGCAGCGGCGGTCCCCACGTTTGGCGCGGCAGGTGGCGAGAGGGCACCGCGGCTCCTCGGGCGCCTCGGGAGCCACGGCGAGCGCCTCGCAGCGGGGCCCAGTCCAGCCCGGCGCGCAGGAGCAGAGGAAGAAGGGTGCGAACGGCATGGGGCGGCAGGAGCCCCCGTGCAGGCAGGCCCCGGCTGCACAGCTGGTGTTGGTGGCCCCTGGCGCTGATACTCGGGAGCTCCGGCAGGCGGGTCCCGAGAGCCCCGGAGGGCAGGCGCAGCGCGGCCCGCGGACTGTCTGCTGGCATGGGATGCCCACCGGGCACTGCAGCTCCCGGCAAGAGCGCGCCACCCGCTCGCACCTCGGACCCCAGAAAGGCTGAGGGTGGGGCCGAGGAAGAGAAGGAAAGAGGGTAAGAGAGGGGTGAGGAGGGAGAGACAGAGAAGGAGGGGAAGAGGGAGGTTGGGGGTCAGGACTTGGGGGAGGTTGAGCACTCTCCCAGCCCCACCTCAACCTCGCCCTCTGCTAGAGGCCCCACCCTGCAGAAAGCCCACCTTCCCTTGCACGTCAGACTGAAAAAAATAGCCCACGCCAGCCACTCATATGGACCCTCTATATAGGGTTTCCGACGCTGCATATCTATGGGAGCAGACAGCTTCAACTTTCAGCTAATGGGCTTGAACCACTGAACTTCTGGTGAGCA